AGTGAATCAGCAGAAGGCGGTCTCTCAAGTACCCAGGTCCAATACCATGTAGGGCTTTATAAGTAATAACTAGCACCCTGAAGCGTATAAGTTATCTTAATTCTATTTTTTAATGTGTAATATATAAACCAGTGGTTAGATAAAGGTAAAGGTTTCCCCTGTCCAGTCATGTCCAACTCTAAGGAGCAGTGCTCATCTTCATTTCTGAGGGACCAAGCATTGTCCAAAGACATTTCTGTGGTCATGTGGCCAGCATAACTATATGCCAAGGCACACGGAACATTGTTACCTTTCCACCAAAGTGGTACCTCTTCATCTACTCATATTTGCATGCTTTAGAGAATTGCTAGGTTAGCAGGAGCTAGGACAAGTAATAAGAGCTCAGGTGATGCTCAAGTTTCAAATCCGGGCTGTCTGCTTTTCAGCTGACAAGCTCAGAACTTTAACTGCTGAGCCATCGCACCCACTTCTAATGGTTAGATAGGAACATCTGGTTTTTAATTCCGCAATAGTACTGAGTGGCATACCAGTTGTGATTTTTTAACCTTTATATATTTATTGAAATTATTGCAAAGCTGCTCACCTCTAGTAGCCAAGGCTTGAGTTTCTTGTCCAGCAGAATATCAAATCCCAGAACTTCAAAGCAAACGCTGTCACTTCCAGGAGATTGCCCTGGTCTACACATACGATAAGCATGAAGGACATGTGGCTCTGCTACTATAAGTGTCTTCACCACTAACTCCTGGGAGATTGTGTAAAAGGTAAGGACAGCAGAGTAGCATCATTATTGTGTTTATTTGACAGTTATAGAAAAACATTCCATTAAACAGCGAAATACGATAAGAGACTAACAAAATAAGAATTGATTGTTGTCTGTGCACTAAATCACAAAAAATCCCGGGGAAATAATATTTAGGATCTAATCAGGACCGCCAAATGATTCTAATAATTTGTTCAAAACATTATTTAGTTTCCTGGAAAAAAAATCTGGTATTCTGCCCATTTCCTCTCCTTGACATAATGACAAGATTCTACACATAACAGTTCTGTCTTTTAGTAATTTCACTGTATTAAAAAAAAATTAAATAAGGTCTTCAGTTGCATGCATACAAAATCCATATTACGTCCCAGTCCAAGGGGAATGGTACAGAGCACTGCCATTATGATGACCAAACACAGAACAGCTATTGCATATTAGTTTTCTCTTACTGAAATATCATTCCAGAATTTGGAAACGTCAAGGTGATTTGTTTGCAGAAACTCAGTAAACCACTTTATAGAGCGCTTACTGCCTTTATCTTCTGTTTCATCCCGTTCAAAATGCTCATTGTGCTTATTCACAGAGTAGTTGGTCAGGTGCATATACAACTGGCTCTGAAACAGAAATCAGAATGTGATTCCTGAGGGACAAGTAGGGAAAGAGAGTTTACAGTTCTATTTAAAGAGAGACTTAATGAAGATGAAGCAGTTTTTACATTGCAGAAAAGATACTTTTTGTTTTTTACTTAAAAAAAAAAGTTAAATAATATCAAATATAACAGAGGAATAAAAATCTGCATGATATGGGGAGGAAATCAACCTTGTAGTTTTTTCCTTGATACAGAATAGTATTTACCCAATTTATTTGTTGTTTATTTATCTAATTTACTTTTTTATTCATCTAATTTTATTAATCTAATAAAATACCAAGGTTGAAAATTCAGGATAGACAAAAGGAAAAACTTATTTAGATGTGCCAAACTGAACTATTCAAATTAGCTAGCATACAAGTTGGTAAAATGAATAAACTGATGAAGTATAATTCTGCCTAGTCATGAAATCTGTATAGTGTCTCCAGGATCAAAGACTAAACATAATCCCATGAAGAATTCTAAAAGAAATGAATTTGCTGGACCCGTTTTAAACCAGTGCTTAGGACTGAACATGGAACCAAGATGGCACTGGTCACACATCTATATTGGTTGTAGATGAAGTTTGTGGACTCATCCTGGCCTTTTTAGGCCTTTCAGCAGCTTTTGATACCCTCAACCATTGTATTCTTCTGGCTCTCAACTCAACAGAAATTAAAAACAAAGCTAAATATAATCATTCCAAAACAATTTCACTTGTAATCAATACCTAGCTGTTCTCTATTACAATATATACCATAAGTTTGCCCAAGCATATATTGCTGCACTATTTTTATTCACTCAAACCTTTACTTACCATATTGGATTCATTGGGTGGATGATATTTCTCTGTGCCCATTCTCACTAATCCATCATGGTATAAAAATATTTTAAGTGGATCGCATGAAGTTACCAGAATATACACCCTTAAATCAAATTTGTACCCTTCCATAAGGAAGGGCTTGTCAAGGTATTCTTGAACGATGAGGTGGTCCTGGGAATGAAGTTTTTCTGCATTTCTGACAAGGGAGATCCTGATAAAGGGCAAAAAAGAAAAACTGAAAACTTTTCATTCTGAACCATTTATTTAATAAATAAATAATAAATTATTACAGGTAGTCCTCACTTAATGATTATTCATTCAGTAACTGTTCAAACTTACAACAATACTGAATGGAATGATAGTTACAACTGTACCTTGCTCTAAAAACCCTTACAGTTTTTAGAGCAACCGGCAGTCAGGTGATTGTGATTAATGAGTTTCCCTGCTAACTTGCCATATGCAAAGTCAATGGGGAATCCAACAGGAAATTGGAAATTGTGGTCATGTGGTGTGCTTGAGGTCCTTGCTTAACGACAGCACTGAGAGTTTCAGAGCTACTGTCATTAAGCAACACAGTCACTTAGGTTTTTGATTTATGACCACATTCCTTAAGGATAGAGTTTCCAGTCCCAATTAGCACTGTTAAGCATGGACTACCTATATATGGAAACAAAACTAACAAATCCAGTCCACTATTTGGAAGGAAATATTTGTTGCCAGCATAATATCAATAGCTTGCTTACTGTCCTTGTTATTAATGAAAGCATTTTTAGAAAGTCAATATCTAATTATAATTCCACTAATATAAACAAGTGTACTCATGTGGAAAAACTGGGTTACCACTGCACCTACCCATGTCCCATGGCCCCATTAGCTGGTTTGACTATAAACGTTTTCTGTCGGCGCTTTCTTTTAAGTTCTTTTACATAGTTCTGGAACTGGGTAAACTCTGCTGGAAAAATCCATGTCCGAGGAATGAAACTATATTCCTGCGGCTGAGACTTGATCATTCTGGGGGGAAAAACAGTACCAAAAAAATCAGTGCATTTTCATATCTGTGATTTCAATTTGGACTTAATTCAGTTTAGCAGCAGCAAACTGGACAAAGAAAAACATATCCATATATTGTATACTTAGAAGTTATACAGGTAGTCCACGACTTACCCGTGACCTGTCAAAACCGCGCTCGACTAAACCGCGCCCGATTAAACCGCGTCGCTGATGTCATCAACAGGGCGACAACAGCCACCGCGGAGAAAGAAGAGCGCTTTAAATAGCGCTTTGAAAGCAAGCCGATTCAACTTAAGGTAATGGTTAGGTTTAGGGTTAGGTTTAGGGTTAGGTT